AACATTAATTTACTTACAGTTCCAAATTCCAATGCAAGGCAAGTATATTTTTGCCATAAATCATATCCTCTATCTCCCTACTAAAGATTTTTCTCTTGTTAAAATTAAAAACGAAAAAAAGATACTTTTCCTAGGTACAATCTTTACATGCGCAGCAGCGTAGGAAATAACCGGTTATCTCCTCCCTTCCCAAACCTTTCGTTCAACAGCAAAAGAGAAAGAAGGCACAATCCAGCTGAAAGGGAAAATTTTTGAGCTTACCCACACACAACTTAATGCACCGAAGACGAAGGGAACGCTAACTTGCGATGAAGCGATTTTGGGGCTTAGACCTGCGGCAACTTGCAATGATTGCGATTTTGGAGCTCAGACCCTCAGACTTACGAGCTTAGATGGTTGAGGGAGACCGGAGATCAGACTTGCGAGATTGCGATTTTGGAGCTCTGCCGAACAAGGAGCTCTGTCGGAGATCACCGTGCTGTCAGTGACGCTAGGGAGCAAGGATTTTGGAAGAGGTGATTTTGGTTTCAGGGAGGGAGGCGAGATGCTATTTTGTGAGCCAGAGGAAATGGGGAATCAGATATTCAGATTCGGGGGAGGGAAATAGGGGGAAGTCGACGGGAAAGGGAATTAGGAAAGGAAGAAGGAATTTTTTTTTAAAATTAAAATGAGCCGTTTCGTGCGTTTGGCAAAACAAAAAGGAGGGAACCGGCTAACCCAGTGAACGGGGATTACCCGGTTCAACCGGTTCTTTACCGGTTCGATAGGCCCCCGGTTCAAATCCTGAACCAGATCGAACTGCACAACGGTTTTCCGGTCGAACCGGCCGGTCCGGTCCGGTTTTTTTTTCCCTTGCATAGAGTAGATGGCTTGAGTACTGTTGTTTGCTCTCATTCAATGACAAATAACAATTTAGGCAAGATTTCAACTTATGCAAGATTTCCCGATCGGAAAAAGACGTCCCTCTGCAATATATATACAGAAATGTATTAAAATACAAAACTTCACCTCAAGTAATTAAAAGACTTCATTGACCAATCAATGCTGCTACATTCAATTCCATGAAAAGGTGTTAGATGACCCCGCAAAGCTAAGCAAGTTCAGTATATAATAAAAAAATCAATGGATTTAATTAAAAACGATGCCTCCGCATATTTATTAAAATTTTATAATAATATAATGGCTTCATGGAAATAAATTAAAAGAACAATACCACAGAGCTTGTCTTCAAGTTTATGATTATGTAATACTTTATTCTCCCTTGTCACCTAACTTTTTAATATAACCATACACAGGACGTTTCATAACTTCATGGACATAACTTACTTCATGGATATTTTAACACCAACTTTAATAATATTTAAGCAACAGTACAAAGAATTGATTTGTCTACGGTGACTTTCGCCCATTGGATATGGAGGCCTTTTACATAGTTTCTGACAAAAAGCTGACTGAAAAGTGAGTCTCTGACGTGTTAAATTTAAAGAATCCTTGCCACACAAGCCGAAAGTGAAAAGACCATGAGTTCTGCTATATTTCAGTGACATTCACAATCTTTGCTTAAACATGTATCACTTAGATAGCTCGCTAAACATGATCAGTAAGTAGTGCGCAGGTCAAAGTTGAATGCAAAGAAAATTGAGAAATATTCCCAGCACATTATACAGACTACAGAGTGTCAAAATTCCATAAAATGAGAAAGAAATCGAACATTTTAAAATACATTCCAGATGTTTATCACTTTATCTACACCCTTTGTCATCTTTACCATCTTACTATAGAGAGAAACAGATTATTTTTTTAAAAAAAATTGGAAATACTAGTAAAATTAAGATTAATAATGATTTAATATCCAAGTATATAACCTTTAAACTTTTTAAATAAAACATCAGTTGTTTATTTTTTATAATTCAAGTGATTTCTTAAATTTTCGATTAAAAGACTATTTCCTCGTTATTTTTCATCCAAAAATTCCCCCTTTCCTTTGTGATGATTTCTCAATTAAATTAAACATCCTTTTCCTGTACCAAAAATATCCTCAACATCCCAATTGACCACGACTTGCCACTGACACCAGCAAGAATATTTAATTTCTGTTATCGAAACCTAAGTGGCAATTTATTATTATTATTTCAGTTTCAGTTTATAATTTTATTAGGCCGAAGTTTCAGCGTTTTGAGTCGCATTTGAAGAGCTTTTAGGAACTAAAGACACTTTTGGCATGTTTATTGGTGTTTGGTATAGATTTGAATTGCATGATTTAGCTATTTAATACTTACATTTTGAACTAAAACGAGTATTATTTAATAAATTCATTTTTTTGGTTGTTTTACAACTAAACTACATTTTCAATAATAATTTAAATAATTTTACTTTTACAAACTGACTTATTCACAAAACTAATCCAAACAATTTTTTTACTTTTACAAACTAGTTTTTATAAAATCTAATTCAAACATAAATCACATTATTTAATCTAATTTTTATCCAATCTATTTTTTAAAAAATTACATTAAAAATAAATTATTTATTCTACTGTTAATCCAAATAGAACATCAGCTTATATTTAAAAATACAGAATTTAACAAATTAAGAGAAAAAACCAGTGAGAGATTGACTCGGCCAAAGGCACACCCAGCAAAACATGGATCCGTTGGGACTAGAGCTAGGAATCAGGGCCGGTCTTACAGGGTTGATAGGTTTAAAATAATCGGCCTTCTAGGATTGAAATTTCAAAAATACCTCAATTTGCTAGGACCGACCCTTAAGCTAACAGGCTCAGGGTCGGCTCGCGGGCTTTCGGCCCTTTTGAGAAAAAAATACTATTTTTCATATTTTTTATAAAAATAAAAATAAACCAATAAAATTATTAATAAAAGACATAAATATGAATAAAATTAAGTTACAAATACAAAATATCATTATATACAAATATCCATCAACATCTAAGAACATGTAAAACATTCATTAATAAGATAACAACATCCAAAAGTTTTACCTATAGTGTAAATGTGTAATAAACAAACACTATCATTAATCTTTTAAAACTTCATCATCGGTGTAATCAATTACTTTTCTTCATAAGTATGCTTTTCTTTTGTAACAACAATATCAACATTTTCTTCTTTATAGGAATTTCACTTTTAAATTTTGTAGTTTAGCTATTATTTTACTTTAGTTTGAGAAACATTGTTGTTGAAACTCATAAATTTCTAATTCATATAGAATCACAAGTTATATAAGTATAAAAATACTCTCTTATCAAATATAATATAGTTAAAAAATATCAACATATATAATATAAATCAAATCATTATTAAAGTTCAAATTAACCTATTTTTTAAAAATTTAATTAGACAAATTATTGTCTAAAACTAAATAAATCAAACCATTATGTGAAATTTAATTTTAAAATGATAATAATAACTAAATATTTGAAATATCATTAATAATATAAAAAAATTAATAATATTGGAATTACAAAAAAAATTTTAAAAAATAAAAAAATAGAAAAGGGTCCAAACAGGCCAGCCCGTTTAAGCCCTCTGCCCTACAGGGCTGGCCCTGCAGAGCCTGTTTTTCATTTGAAGAAAAAAATTTTAAGCCTGACTTTCATAATTTTCAAATCTAAAAAGGTCAGTCTAACGGGTTCAACCTGTTTTTCCGGCTCTAGTTGGGACGGGAAAAGGAACGTGACAAAATGTAGCGTATCGTAGGTGTGAAGGATCACGTGGTAGAGTTCGGCGCATGTGCGTGACCAGGACTCGGCGATGCATGCGTTGCGTCGGCAGCATCCGAAGATGTCGGTTGTTTCCTCACTGCCAATATCACGTGACATTTTGAGTCCCACTCTCCCTCCGCTTCCAATGCTTCCTTATGTGCTTGGCATACACTCGTCCAAGTGATTTAACTTTTGTTTTTTTTTTTGGGCCATAAAAATTAGAATGATTTAAAATTGGGTTAACACAAATTTTAGTCTTTTAAGTTTACCTTAATTTTAATTTTGATTTCTTAAATTTCAAACTATAGGTTTTGGTCTCGTAAGTTTTTTTTTTATTTAAAATATTGGTCCCTATAATCCAATAAAAACTAAGATCATTTTACCTCTTAAGGAATCAAAACCTATAATTTGAAACTGGAGGGGCCAAAACTAAAATGAATACAAATTTGAGGAACCAAAGATTATATTAACTTTTTAAGATTTATATTTACCTTTTTCAGGGCTCCAACGGGAGGTCATGATATATGTGTTTTAATTTTTGCTATAGCTACTCCTCATGATATTGAAAATTAAGGGGGTGTAATCAACATGCAGGGATGGGACCCGATTATTTAAGGATCGGAATCTTCATATGGTCTCTAATTAACACTCTTTTTATCCAAAAGTATAGAAATTAATGGGGTTTAATACAAACTTTGATTCTAAATTCTACTCTTATTTTGGTTTTGGTTCCTCAAGTTTCAAACTATAGGTTTTGGTTCTTCAAATTTTTTTTCATTTAAAATATTGGTCCTTATACTCTAATTAAAACTTAGACCATTTTAACACTTGAGGGACGAAAACATATAATTTGAAACTTAAGAGATTAAAATCCAAATAAAAAAAACTTAAAGTACCAAAAATAATATTAACTCATAAACACATCTAATACTTCCATTTCCATCCCTCTTCATTCAAACGCATTTAATTTTATCATACATTTTAAAATATCAGATTATCCTTACAATGCTTATCCCTTTCGTCTTCTTCCTTACATCAAGAAGTCTCGAGATTCTTTTGATCTTTTTTGACCTAATAAATTCTTTTGATCAAAACATTACGAGGAAATAAAACTCAATATTAATCTAAAAGATGATGGCTGTAAAAACTACAAAAAATACAACGTTAATTTATATTCAGAATACTAATACTTTTTTTTGATAACAAGAGAAGGCGATAAAAGAAACTAAACAAGAAAAACAAAAGACTAAGTGTGAGGCATCTCCATGGCTTGGGAGACCGCATCCAGTGGAAGGACCTGCAGATCTTGGGGGCTCGAGAGGCCGCGTTTTGCTAAGCTGTCAGCAACAATATTATCATCACGGTTACAATACATAAGCTCAACCTTCCAATCTTTATCCCGCATATTATGACACTCACTGATGAGAGTCCAGTCTTTGTGTAAGGCGTCCTCCCCCTTCTAACCAACTCGATGGCCTCTGTACAGTCACTCCAAAGCTTCACCTGTTTGTAACCCCAATCCCAAACTCGTCTCAAACCCAGTAAAATGGCCCAGAGTTCTGCATGCAAGGCGTCTCCATGTCCAATATGGAACATGCAAGCCTCCATCATTATCCCTTCTTCGTCGCGAATCACCCCTCCATAACTTGCCTTGGATGCATCCATCGCAGCTGCACCATCTACTTGCACACTAACCCATCCTCGACTCTCTTTGCAGCTATCTACTTCAGTATTCCTTCTCACCACTCCATTGATATTCACATTTTGCAACTGAGCTTTAGTTGCCATAAAAGAGTGTAAGATAGCTAGAGCTCTATCTAAAGTTGCTTGAGCAGAGGAGGTAGTGTTCTCAAAGATGCGAGAGTTTCTACGATACCAGATATGCCAACAATATACTCCAAATCTCTCCTTCCAATGGTCTTCATCATTACCTACTCCTGTTCTTAGATTCATCATGACCTAGCTCCTCAAATCACTATCAAAAAAATCTGTCAACAACATGTGGTTTAACCAGGGAATGCCATACACTCTGCACCTTCGGACAGTCATGTAATGCATGCAGAATATCCTCGTCCTCTTGCCCACACCAAACACAGGTGGTCGTTGTGGTCAAGCAGCGTTTCACCCTTTTCCTGTTAGTAAGGAGCTTTCCATGGCAAACCAACCAGAGGAAGGACTTACAATTCTGTGGCACATTCATCTTCCAAATTTTATTCCAGATTGGATCAAGAGCCTCTACCTCTCATTTCAGCATGTTGTATGCTGACTTTAGTGTGAAGTGTCCGTGTTTTTCAAGCTTCCACTGTACGGTATCTACACCTGTTCTATCTCTGCATCGTTCAGTTTCCTCGAGTACCCTGTTGAAGTTATTTTTGATACCCAACCAAAGACGTGACCCTGCCCGTGATCTTTCTATTCGTGGAATCAACTCATTTCCACACGAATACTTGCTGCATATAAATCTAGACCAAAAAGAGTCCGGTTGTTTCATTAATCCCCACCCTACCTTCATCATGAATGCTCTATTCTGAAGGGCCATGTGACGGATACCAAGACCGCCTTTTTTTTTTTCTCTACAAACCACCTCCCACGAGATCAAGTGCACCTTCTTTCGTTCTGTCGAAGAGCCCCAAAGAAACTTCCTGGCACTTTTCTCAATATCTTCACAAGTAGCTGCCGGCAAGGCACAAGTTTGCATGGGGTATAGGGGTATGGCCTGGACGACAGATGTGAGAAGAGTTTGCCTACCAGCGAGTGATATAGCGTTTGTCTTCCAATTGTTGAGATGCTTTTTGATTTTATGCACAACAAATTGATAAGTGTCTCGTGTGACTCAATCATGATGAAGAGGCACCCCTAAATATTTGTCGAGGTTAGCAGTTCATTGGAATCCTAGTGTTTGCTTAACTGACTCGCCAGAATGCGTTGCACGTTATTAGAGAAAAAGACCTCAGTCTTGCTCTGACTCACTTTCTGTCCAGATGCTAAACAAAAGCGATCGAGACAAGGCTTAATCACAGCTACTTGTTCAATTGAAGCTTTGGCAAATAAAATGAGGTCATCAGCAAAAAATAGATGTGATATTGGAGGATCGTCTTTATGGAGTCGAATCGGTCGCCATCTTTTCTGCTGTGTTGCTTCCTGTATCAAAAGTGCAAGCTTTTCCATACAAATTACAAAAAAAATAAGGCAACATAAGGTCACATTGTCGGAGTCCACATGAGGGAGCAAACTCCTGTGTTCTACTTTCCCACAAAATTTCCATCATTAGAGTGGTAATGCATTGTCAAATAGTATTCACCAGGTTTGAAGGAAAATTGAGTTCTTCCAGACATTCTTGAATAAAGTCCCATCTGAGTCAATCACAGGCTTTCTCAAGATCAATTTTTATAGCCATAAAACTTTTTTTCCTTTCATAGTACGCATGGAATGGATCACTTCCTAAGCAACTATCACATTATCTGAACCCAAGCGGCTAGGGACGAAACCTCACTGGTTAGGGGATATGATTATTAGGAGAAGACTTTTGATGCGATTAGCGATCACTTTGGTTAGACATTTATAGATCACGTTGCATAAGCTAACGGGACGGAAGTCACGAATTGTTTCAGGGTGATCCATCTTTGGGATTAAGACAAGTAGGGTGCCATTCACTTTTTTGACGGTGGCGGGATTTTCAAACACATGCTTCACAAATTGGATGACAGAGACATTCACATGTTTCCATTGACTTTGGTAGAACAAAGCATTCAAACCGTCAGGGCCAGGAGATTTAAGGGCCCCCATGCTAAAAATAGCTTGCTTTATTTCTTCTTCAAAAACAATCCCCTCTAATTCTTGTTTACTTGCATTATCAACACTAGGATAGGAGAGTGAGCACTGCAAAGGTGCGTCAAAAGGGCCGTCTGCATAAAAAAGATCCTTATAGAAGGAGAGAGCAATCTCTTTAAGTTCTTCTTGTGTGAAGCTCCATACGCCATCTTCATTCTTTAAAGCTGTGATCTTATTCCTCTTCTTCCTAGTGTTAACTCTAGCATGGAAGTATTTTGTGTTTCTATCTCCTAGTACATACCAATCACATTTTGCTTTTTGGGCCCATAGGAGATCTTTTGGTGTCAGAACCTCCTTTAATTCCTTCTAGAGCCGTTGGATGAGCAACTCCCTTTCTCTTCGATTAATACGATCCTGTGCATATTTGTCCAATCCTTCTATTCTACTTATCAAATGGTGCCTCCTTCTCCCTAAATGGCCAAAGACATCCCTGCTCCAACCTTTTACTTCCCTAGTAAAAGTGTTGATAGTGTCCTGCCAATCTCAATCAATGTGCCAAGCATTTTCCACAAAGCTACTGAATTGCTCATGTAAGACCCATAAAGCTAGAAACCTAAAAGGGACATCCCTTTTGGAAGTATCAGCGTTCTCTTCTTGAAGGTCAAGGAGGATAGGACGGTGATCAGACTTGTAGAATGGTAGGTGTGTAACGGAAGCATCAGGGAATTGATTCAAGAATTCTAAATTGGCGAGCACGTGATCTAACCTGCTTTGACTGCTACTTCTCTTCCAAGTAAAATAAGGTCCTTGACAGCCCATGTCTATGAGACTTGAGTCATCAACCCAATTGCTAAACTCTTTATCTATATTGGTGCCAATCCAGGAGGAAGATCGTTTATCATGTGTAAACAAAGTCCCATTGAAGTTGCCTCCTATACACCATGGACCCGTAACAGTGCTTTGGATGTCCACTAATGCCTTCTAAACCACCCTTCTCTTGATTGTATTCGAGTTTGCATAGATTGCAGTAACAAAAGTTTTATTATCCCCTTCCTCAATGCACAAGTGAATAAACTGGTTTGAATGCCAAGGACATGGAACTTCCAAGCCCCATTGTTCCATAACACCCATATTCCGCCACTATATCCTAGAGCATCCACCACTTCAACATTCTCGAAACCCAATGAGGTAGCAATCTTATGAGCTTTTGGCCCACCAGTTCTTGTCTTAAGAATAGCTAAGAAGTCCAGTTTGTGTCATTTAGCAAGTTCACGAACCAAACTAGGAAAGGATCTTGACCTAGTACCTCTGCTATTCCAGAATAAGAGATTCATTAAAAACTGAGTTAGGGAGGGAAACTTTTAGAGCCTAGTGTTGTCACATCTCTTCCTGCAACCCCATCATTATTCATTTGGTGGTCTATACCCTCTATCGGTGACCTGTTGTGTTGCACCTCAGAAAGTTCCGGTTGGAGGTCTCCCTTTCTTAGACTACAATTGGGTCCCCTATCTTCAATATCATCGCTATGCATGGGGGTAGGATAATGGTTAGAGTCCACATCGATTTCCTTATTCTGTCGTTCTACGTTGTCATTGTTGTCTTCGTCTATTAAAGCCATGAAAGGATTAGGAGAATTCATAAAATTGTCGGAAACAGGCCTACTGTGGCTTAGGCCTACCGATGCCTCCTTTTTTTTTTTTTTTACTTTTACATTTAGCCCCTCATTTTCCTTTCCTCTACTGGCTCCATTTTTCCGATGATTTGTGCTTCTAGTCATTGGGACCCACTTTCTTGAATTAATAATATCCTTCCCAAACTGTTGGGATTCCATGCTCATACTTAAGGTACCACGTGCTTTTTCTCTCTCATTATTCAATGACCCAATAACTGGTGGCCGTGTATCTCGCGTGATCTGTCCTGCTTGATTTGAATGCGTAATTTTTTCCTATTGACCTCTCTCGATCCCAAAGAATTCGGGATTGCATACCTCCTTCTTGCTGGCCGTTTCAGAAGGTTCCAAGTACCCAAAACCTCTATGCACGGTGGCGATTTCGTGACAATTCCGGCGACCTCTTTTCCCTTATCAGTTCCTTGTCCTCTTTTTATGGCCGCTAATCCATCCTCCTCACTCCTTGTCACGGTCTCATTAGTTTTTTTCCTGAGAAATAGTTATCCCTTCTCTTCCTCTTTCCATCTCTGTTTCAACACCGTCCTTCGTTATATGTGGTTTTTGGCTTGGTATCTCAGAGCAAGCATCTCGATGGTGCCCGTACTTGCCATAGACAAAGGAGATAAGATGAAGCCCCTCGTACTCAATATGACGTTCTTTACCAAAGATCCTAATAGCTGGAATGAGCCTCTTTTTCATATCAAATTCTACACATATGTGTGCATATCGCCCCCTAGCTATGACGTTCTTTACCAAAGATCCTGATAGCTGGAATGAGTCTCTTTTTCATATCAAATTCTACACGTATGCGTGCATATCGCCCCCTAGCCGTCAAGTACATGACCAAATCAACCTTTAGCGTCTTTCCTACTAACTTACCAATCAGGTTGAGACTTTCAAAGTTGAAGAATTCTAGGGGCAAGAGGGGAATGCGTATCCAAGCGGCTATTTTTCGTTGACACTCAGCTTGCCATGGGTCAAAGTTTGGTCTCCATCTTTGAACTAGTAAATACTCGTCTGCTATCATCCAAGGGCCTTCAAAATAAACGTCGTTTAGGTCTTCATCATTAGCAAAGGAAACCACTAAGTATCTATTGTCTATGTCTCTGGTTTCGAAGGCCTCCCTTGTCTTCCACAGTTTCTGTAAACTTGGTTTCAATCCCCATAACGGAATGTTTCTCCCCAGCACTTTAATAATCAGAGATCACCTCCATGGTGCACACCATTTTTCTTATTGCTCTTGTGTGATTACAAGCGTTGGGATCAACTCATCGGTATTGCTATTCGTCTCCTCTCCCACCTGGGTATTCGGGTTATGGAGGCTCTCATCTCCAAAGAAATCTTTCAAGCCATCTCTATATCCTCTCTAAGCCTTATCGAATACACTACTCCCTTGCTTGTCAAAAGAGCACCCTTTAGGGTTTGCATCTAACAGCTTGTCCTTGCAGGAGAATGCATGCATCAGTCCCTCCCTATTTTCTGTTGGACTCCTCTCACCTGCTTCATCTTGTTGACACTATTTCTTGTTCCGGTCATGATCATCACCGTCCTCTGACGCTTCTCCACCCTTCACACGCTCACTCATCTCTCTCTCTCTTTCCTTTTTGAAAAATTCATAATACTAATACTAATAATTATGATGCATAATTTTGTTCCCTTTATTACTAAATAGAAATGTTGAAGTAAGTATAGCGGGGGAAAATAAAAGAGAGGAGGGAGGCGGAAGAGAAAGAGAGAGTGAGAAGTAGAGGAGAAAATCAAGAGAGTGAAAGTACGTGATATCTAGGGGTGTGCATGGACTGGACTGGACCGGGTTTGTTATCAACCCGAAGTCTGGTCCAGTAAAGACCTCGGGCTGAAAAAAACAGCCCGAGGTCTGGTCCAGTCCAGTGCCAACCCGAGGTCGGGTTGGACTGGACTTGGTCCTCTGGACTGCCTGGACCAGTCCAGGCAGTCCAGACCTAATTTTAATTTTTTTTAAAAAAAATTTTCTTCAAGAGGAGGCAAAATTGTAACTTACTATATAAAATTTTGCACATATTTTAATTCAAAATTTATCAAATTTGATCATTCCTTTTCAATTTCCCAATGAAGTCATGTTTTATTAATTAATCCTCTTCAATATAGATCTTAAATTGTAGAAAATATATATGCATGCTCATTACTTCGAAAGTTAATAGATAAATCTTAATTATTTGAATAGATAAAAAATTTATATAGAAAAATTAAATCAAATTAAAATTATATTAATAATAATTTTAAAAAATCGGGCTGGACTGGACTGGACCAACTGGTCTAAGGGGTTAGTCCCTAGTCCAGTCCAACCCGATGAGACCAGTCCGGTCCAGTCTGGTCCAGTCTTGTTTCGGGCCAATTTTTTCTGGACCGGACTGGACCGGGTCTGTTCGGGTTGGACTGGATCATACCGGACCACCAGGTTTTTGCACAGCCCTAGTGATATCTGAAGAATAAGGCAAGATTTGGGGATTTGGGTATCATTTAGATACAAAAATTTATATCTTTTTATCAAATTTTCTTTATGAGTATTTTCTATATATTTAGAGCTTTATATTATTAGTTTCATTATAATATTTAGAGAAAATTCTACCGTTTGGATATGGAGTAAATATAGAGTTTTGACAATATATGACCGTAGAAATTTAAAAATACATTATTAAGGAATTTTAATTGGTTTATATTCATTCAATAATTGTTTTGAGAATTTTAAATTAAGATTTTAAAAAAATTTAGTATTCAAGACATATAAGGGTTTGTTTGGTTGGAGAGGAGGGGAGGGGAGGGGAGGGAAGGAGAGGGAAAATGAGCCCTTCCCCTCATTTGGTTAAAAATTTTGGAGGGGAGGGAAGCCAAAATGTCCCCTCCCCTCCCTCCCCCCATTTTAGCTCCCCTCCAAATTGGGGGTTTTTGGAGGGGAGCTAAATTCTTGGACCATTATATCCTTATAGTTTTTTTAATATTCCACTTCTACCTATAAAATATATTATTATAATATTTATTTCAAATAAAAAATATATTATCCCAAGTAAAAAATAAAAAAATAAATTATTATAATTAAAAAATAAAAAAATTATTTAAATAAAAAATTATAATATTATAAAATTAATTGTTTTTTATAAATATATTATTTATTAAATATATTTTAAAGCTAAAAAAAGGGTAGCCCAAAGAGAATAAAATTTCATTTTTCTTAGAGCATATAAAATTTGTTAATTTGATTGTTTTAATTATATTAATTAGAATAAAAAATTACTGTATCAATTTTTTAATGCACATATTAACATGATAAGACTGAATTTTTATTAAATTATATAATTTAAATTAAGATGTAAATTAATTTATATAATATATTAATAAAAAATATAAACTAATATGTAATGATAAAATGTTAAATTAATTATTACTATCCCTCCCCTCCCCTCCTTGAACCAAACAAGGGATCATTAAATATCCTCCCCTCCCTTTCTTTTTAATCAAACCAAACAAGGTGATGATAAAACCTTCTCTCCCCTACCCCTCCTTCCCCTCCCTCCCCTACCCTCCCCTCAAACCAAATAGACCCTAAAATGTCTTTGCCAATTAAATCTAAGTTAAATAATTTATTTAGGTCATTTAATATATTATTGAGATTTTAATCAGTTTGAATATTCCATAGGTTAAAAATATATATTTTTAAAATATTTTTTGAAAACTTAAAGAATTGTAAATTGAGAATTTTATAAAAATTAAAACTTGTTTATACTTCAAAGAAGTTGTTTTGCTAAGAAAGTTTAAATGAGACTTTAATCAATAATTGAGATTTTAATATAAAATATTTATATTTTAGGTAATAAATATATTTATTTATTTAAGCTATTAAATTTAAATAGTCTCATATGAAAATTTTATTTTCAAAATAATATTGTATTTATTATAGATAGCAAAATTCGGGAGAGTTAATATATTTTTGTAATTTTAGTTTAGAGGGTAATCCTAGAATTTTAGAGTATTTTTAGAATAGTTTTGAGTTATATATTAATAAATATTTGTGTGTAATTTTTCGACTCTTGATAATTTTGAAGTAATCGTTTTATGATTATTTGTAAGCTAAAGAGTAATAGGTAATTCTGAAAAAAAATTTATATACATGTAAATTGTGTATGATTATGTTGTGGATTTAATATTATGAATTTTCCAATAAATGTTTTAATATATTATTTTATTTTGTTAAGATTTATTCCTAGTAATTATGATTAATATTTAAATATATTGATAGTTATTTATACATAACTTCTACTTATATGTTATTTTAATAATATATTTGAGGACATACTTTTAATATAACATTATTTGCACGTGAGATATGCATTGTTGGGCTAAGGATAAAAGGAGATTTGTATAGATATAAAATTATCACGTGGTATGCAATCACTCGGTACACAGTAGATGTCACTTGTTAGGGCCCCTTTCAAGTTTTCCTTTGGTTGGGAATCTATTGGAGTTGTGGGATATGTGACATCTCCTTATTTTATTTTCAGAGGAGAAAAGCCATAGTTTGAACTTAAGCTTTGTATCTTTGGCCGGATATATCTCTAGTTTTGATGAACTTAGGATAATCCAGTAAAATGGATTAGTTCCTATTGGCCTATGTGTTAGCCTATGGTTCTAGTCAACGGTATAAGGGTGGACGATAATATGAGAGAGGATGCATATTGCATTATTTTTTGGATATATTGGAAAATGATGGCGGTATATTGTTAAATCAAAAATAAAATTGAGTTGAATGTATAAATTCATGATTTTCATACACAAATATATATACACACATATAAACTGATTTTTGTTTATCATATATGGTTTGTTTATATATGTTAGAATTTCAGTAGTTATTGAGACGTTATATCTCATATCTTATATTAACATTTTTCAGGTAAAGGATCTAGTAGGAATCA